TTGGGAAGGGTTCTACCGAGGAAAAAGGAGGAGTTGGGGAGGATTCGGGAATTTGGGGGGATTCTACAAAAGGAAAGAGGAGGAGTTGGGGAGGATCTGGGTAGTTGGGGAGGATTCTACAAAGGAAAAAAACATGTGGGGAGGATTTTGGAATTGGGGAGGATTCTACAAAGAAAAAGACGGAGTCGGGGAGGATTTGGGAACTGAGGAGGATTCTACAAAGGAAAAAGACCGAGTTGGGGAGGATTTGGGAATTGGGGAGGATTCTACAGAAAGGAAAAAGGAAGAGTTAAGAGAGAATTTGGAAATTGGGGAGGATTCTACCATGGAAAAAATAGTGAGATGGGGAGGATTTGGTTTTGTGGTGAGGATTCTACAAATGGGAGAAGGATGAGTTGCAGAGGATTTGGGGATTGTGGAGGATTCAACAAACGAAAAAGCATGAGTTGGGGAGGATTTGGGAATCGGAGAGGATTCTAAAAAAGAAAAAGGATGAGTTAGGGAGGAGTTGGGAATTGGGGAGGATTCTACACAGGAAAACGACGGAGTTGGGGGGGATTTGGGCATTGGGGGGGATTCCACAAAGGAAAAAAGGTGTGTTGGGGAGGATTTGGGAATTGGTGAGGATTCTACAAAAGGAAAATGAATAGTTGGGGAGAATTTGGGAATTGGGATGGATTCTACACATGAAAAAAGAAGAGTTGAGGATGATTTGGGATCTGAGACGGATTCTACAAAGGAAAGAGGAGGAGCTGGGGGGGATTTGGGAATTGGGGAGGATTCTACAAAGGAAAAAGGAGGAGTTGGGGAGGATTTGGGCATTGGGGAGGGTTCTACCAAGGAAAAAGGAGGAGTTGGGAAGGATTTGGGAATTGGTGAGGATTCTACAAACGGGAAAGGAAGAGTTGGGGAGGATCTGAGTATTTGGGTGAGATTCTACTACGGAAAAAAAAAACGAGTTGGGGAGGATTTGGGAATTGGGGAGGATCCTACAAATGAAAAAGAGGGAGTTGGTGAGGATTTGGGAATTTGGGAAGATTCTACAAAGGAAAAAGGAGGAGGTGGGGATGATCTGGGAATTGGGGATTATTCTACCAAGGAAAAAATAGGAGTTGAGGGGGGGGGGATTTGGGAATTGGGGAGGATTCTACAAAGGAAAAAGGAGGAGTTGGTGAGGATTCGGGAATTGGGGAGGATTCTACAAAGGAATAAAGAAATAGTTGGGGAGGATTTGGTAACTGAGGAGGATTCTACAAAGGAGAAATGAGGAGTTGGGGAGGATTCGGGAATCGGGGAGGATTCCACAACGGAAAAAGGGTGTGTTGGGGAGGATTTGGGGATTTGGGCGGATTCTACAAAGGAAAAAGGAAGAGTTGGGGAGGATTTTGGGATTGGGGAGGATTCTACAAATGAGCAAGGAGGAGTTGGGGAGGATTTGGAATTCGCTGAGGATTCTACAAAAAAAAGAAAGAAAAAGGACGAGTTGGGGAGGATTTGGGAATTGGGGAGGATTCTACAAAGGAAGAACATGTTGTGGGGAGGATTTGGGAATTGGTGAGGATTCTACAAAGGAAAAAGAATGAGTTGGGGAGGATTTGGGAATTTGGGGGGGATTCTACAAAAAGGAAAAAGGAGGAGTTGGGAAGGATTTGGGAATTGGTGAGGATTCTACAAACGGGAAAGGAAGCGTTGGGGAGGATCTGAGTATTTGGGTGAGATTCTACTACGGAAAAAAAAAAACGAGTTGGGGAGGATTTGGGAATTGGGGAGGATCCTACAAATGAAAAAGAGGGAGTTGGTGAGGATTTGGGAATTTGGGAAGATTCTACAAAGGAAAAAGGAGGAGGTGGGGATGATCTGGGAATTGGGGATTATTCTACCAAGGAAAAAATAGGAGTTGGGGGGGGGGATTTGGGAATTGGAGAGGATTCTACAAAGGAAAAAGGAGGAGTTGGTGAGGATTCGGGAATTGGGGAGGATTCTACAAAGGAATAAAGAAATAGTTGGGGAGGATTTGGTAACTGAGGAGGATTCTACAAATGAGAAATGAGGAGTTGGGGAGGATTCGGGAATCGGGGAGGATTCCACAACGGAAAAAGGGTGTGTTGGGGAGGATTTGGGGATTTGGGCGGATTCTACAAAAGGAAAAAGGAAGAGTTGGGGAGGATTTTGGGATTGGGGAGGATTCTACAAAGGAGCAAGGGGGAGTTGGGGAGGATTTGGAATTCGCTGAGGATTCTACAAAAAAAAAGAAAGAAAAAGGACGAGTTGGGGAGGATTTGGGAATTGGGGAGGATTCTACAAAGGAAGAACATGTTGTGGGGAGGATTTGGGAATTGGTGAGGATTCTACAAAAAGGAAAAAGGATGAGTTGGGGAGGATTTGGGAATTTGGGAGGATTCTACAAAAGGGAAAAAAAAGAGTTGGGGAGGATGTTGGACATTGGGGATGAATCTACAAACGAAAAAGGATGAGTTGGGGAGGATTTTGGAATTCGGGGGGATTCTACAAAGGAAAAAAAATAGGAGTTGGGCAGGACTTGGGAATTGAGGAGGGTTCCACAAAGAAAAAAAGGAGGAGTTGGGGAGGATTTGGGAATTGGGGGAGGAATCTACAAAGGAAAAAGGAGGAGTTGGGGAGGATTTGGGAATTGGGGAAGATTTTACAAAGGAAAAAATGTGTTGGAGAGGATTTGGGAATTGGGGAGGATTCTACAAAGGAAAAAAGGAGGAGTTGGGGAGGATTTGGGAATTGGGGAGGATTCTACAAAGGAAAAATGAAGAGGGATGATTTGGGAATTGCGGGTGATTCTACAAAAGGAAAATGAGGGAGTTGAGGAAGAGTTGGGGAGGATTTGGGCCTTGGGGAGGAATCTACAAAGGGAAAAGGAGGAGTTGTGGAGGATTTGGGCATTGGGGAGGATTTTACAAAAGAGAAAGGAGGAGTTGGGGATGATTTGGGAATTGGCGATCCTACAAATGAAAAAGACGGAGTTGGGGAGGATTTGGGAATTGAGGAGGGTTCTACAAAGGAGAAAGGGGAGTTGGGGAGGATTTGGGAATTGGTGAGGGTTCTACAAAGGAAAAAGGAGGAGTTGGGGAGGATTTTGGAAGTGTGGAGGATTCTACAAAGGAAAATGGATGAGTCGGGGAGGATTTGGGAATTGGTGATTTTACAAAGGAAAACAGAGAAGTCGGGGGGGATTTGGGGACTTGGGGAGGATTCTACGAAAGGAAAAAAGGATGAGTTGGGGAGGATTTGGGAATTGGGGAGGATTCTACAAAGGAAAAAGGAGGAGTCGGCGAGGATTTGGGAATTGGGGGGGGGGTTCTACAAAGGAAAAAGGAGGAGTTGGGGAGGAGTTGGGAATTGGGGAGGATTCTACAAAGGAAAAAAGAGGAGTTGGGGAGGATTTGGGGATTGGAGAGGATTCTACAAAGGAAAAAAGACGAGTTGGGGGGATTTGGGAACTGAGGAGGATTGATTCTACAAAGGAAAAAAGAGGGGTTGGGGAGGATTTGGGAATTGAGGAGGATTCTACAAAGGAAAAAAGGAGGAGTTGGGGAGGATTTGGGAATTGGGGGGGATTCTACAAGGGAAAAAGGATGAATTGGGGAGGATCTGGGAATTGGGGAGGGTTCTACAAAGGAAAAAAGGAGTTGGAGAGGATGTAGGAAGTTGGAAAGGATTCTACATAAGGAAAAAGGAGGAGTTGGGCAGAATTTGGGAATTGGGGAGGATTCTACAAAGGGAAAAAGAGGAGTTGGGGAGGACTCCCAAATCCTCCCCAACTCCTCTTTTTTCTTTTGTAAAATCCGCCCCAATTCCCAAATCCTCCCCAACTCCTCATTTTTCCTTTTGTAGAATCCCCAATCCATTCCGAAATCCTCCCCAACTCCTCCTTTTTCCTCTGTAGAATCCTCCCCAATTCCCAAATCTTTCCCAACTCCTCCTTTTTCCTTTGTAGAACCCTCCCCAATCCCCAAATCCTCCCAAATTCCCCTTTCTCCTTTGTGGAATCCTCCCCAATTCCCAAATCCTCCCCAACTCCTCCTTTTTCCTTTGTAGAATCGTCCCCAAATCCCAAATCCTCCCCAACTCCTCCTTTTCTTTTGTTGAATCCTCCCCAATTCCCAAATCCTCCCCAACTCCTCTTTTTTCCTTTGTAGAATCCTCCCCAATTCCCAAATCCTCCCCAACTCCTTCTTTTTCCTGTGAAGAATCCCCCCCAAGTCCCAAATCCTCCCCAACTCCCTCCTTTTCCTTTGTAGAATCCTCCCCAATTCCCAAATTCTCTCCAACTCTTCCTTTATCCTTTTGTAGAATCCTCCCCAATTCCCAAATCCTCCCAAACTCTTCATTTTTCCTTTGTAGAATCCCCCCTAATTCCCAAATCGTCCCCAACTCCCTCTTTTTCCTTTGTAGAATCCTCCCCAATTACCAAATCCTCCCCAACTCCTGCTCATAATTTCTGTAGAATCCTAATCGTGAAATCCCCCCCAACCCCGCTGACGTCATTACAGGGCGCAAAAATAATTATCGAAACGATTTGTCCGGTAATGTAATGTTTTTCGCCCCTGCAGTAGTCAGGAGGAAGAGGGACATCGCGATATGCCTGGCTGACGTGGCCAATCGCGCTCGCCTGGGCTGCTGATGCCGTCGGGCCAGGGGGCGCAGCCACGCCCGCGCCGTGGCCGCTCGTCTGGTTCAGCGCAGAGATGCCGCCGTTGGCCCAGCGCCTCCAGGCGCCCCCCCCCGCTGGGCGCGCTGCCACCCTCGCCGGCTGCGGCGAGCGGCTGCGCGCTCATCCAGCGCAAGCGGCGGCAAGGGAAATACGTCCCGCTGGCGCTCTGCAGGCGCCATCGCTGGCAGCGGCGCGAGCAGCAGCTGACCGCCGCGAAGAGTAAACATGGCGGAGGCTGACGCAGACCACGAACATGCAGGGGTCGCCCAGGCGGCATCGAAGCGCCCGCACCCGCCTGGGAATAGCTTCCGAGGGCCTATGCGCGCGCAGCCCGCTCCTCGCGGGCTTTGCGCCTCTCCTTGGCCACAGCGACCCCTGCCTTCAGCTGCTCCGCAATGAACTCTGCGAGCGCTCGCGAGATGCAAAGGTTCCCTTTGCTCGCCGCCACGCCCATGTAGTGCTCGGCCTCCGACGCAAGCAAACTCTCGCTCACCCCGAAGCCCTCCTTCTCGTCTTTCTTCTCCTCGGCGGCCACCTGCGCCGACAAGGTATCCTCATAGTGGCGCTCCTCGATGAGCTGGGAATGGCGGCGCGCCAGCTCGAACGCCGCCAATTCCGCAGTGTTGAGCTGGTCGTAACAGGTGGCCGTTTCCAGCATGCTGCTGGCAGACGGAGTCTGAGTCCCGTGGCCGAGCCTCTGCCTTCCACTTCGAGGGCCACGCGAGCGGGCCACCTGCGTTCCGACGCATGTGGTCCAGGCACCACTGAGTAGTCCTGGGCCCTTGGGTCGGCCAGTCGTCCCGCGGCGTGGTGGTCGAGTCCCTCGCGGCCGTGGCGAAGTCGAGCTGGCGACGCCCTAGCGGACCCAACACCGCGGGGAACACGCGGCAGTCTGCCGCCGCGGGGGGGGGGGGGGCGGAGGGGGGGCGCCGTCGCAAGTGCCCCAGCTGCCGCCGCGCCGCCGCCGCCGTCGACAGCCCCTGCGCCCCCCCCTCCACCGAGGGGTGGCAGCGGCATGCCCAGCGCCGCCGCCAACGCGCCAGCGCCGCCAGGCCCCGCGGCCGCGCCGTCGCCTCCAGCGCCGCCGCCACGGGCGGCCGCGCCACCTCCGCCTGCCGCCACCGCGGGGGCCACCACGGCTGCACCGACGGGGTCATCCAGAGCCAGCGCCTGGGGCACCCAGGCACCGCCCGCCCCAGCGCCTCCAGCCAGAGTGAACGGTGAGGGCGGCAGCGCGGAGCCCAGCAGCAGCGCGCCGTCGCGCAGGTGGCCCCACACCGCCCGCCCCAGCGCCTCCAGCCAGAGTGAACGGTGAGGGCGGCAGCGCGGAGCCCAGCAGCAGCGCGCCGTCGCGCAGGTGGCCCCACAGCTCCGCCGCCGAAGGCGCACCTCGGAAACGTTATACGTTGGCCTCCGCCACGCCGTACACAGGAGCACCGAGCCCGCGCAGCGGCATCACCTCTTCGCAGTCGGCGTTGACCACCACCGTCTCCAAGTACACGTCCCCGTCGACTGTCACGATCACCGCCTGCAAAGGGGGGGCGTCGAACAGCGTGATCCTCTCGTGGAACACCTGCGGCCCGCCGACGCGGTAACGAATCACGTGCACATCACCTGTTCGCGGCATGCTGGATCGCTGCTCGAGCTTGCCGCGCTGCAATGACCTGGATCTCTTCAGCCGAGGTGGCAAGAGGCGATCTTTCGACTGCAGACGCTGTGCCGCGGCGGCCTCTGAACAGGCCCCCGACAAGCCACTTGCAGCTCAGGGGAGCGGGCAGCACGAACGGGCCGATCAGCACTCCCAGCAAGAAGGTGACCACGTGACTGCACCAGGAACTGACCTGATGCACGGCGCTGGCCCCTGCGACGTCGGGGCACGAGAGACGGTAGCTGGGAGCGCACCCGCAGGCGCAGGGAGGGCAGGCGGGCGGCGCGGCCGAGGTCGCCGACCACACCACCAGGGCCTGCGATGCCCCGCGCGCAAACTCCGCGAGGAAGCGCGTGGCGGCACCCTGCATGCGAGGGCGGGTGGGAATGGGCGCTTGAGCGCAACGGTTGTGGTCGTGCGGCCGCTCAACCCCTTCCCCAGCACACACCACACTAAAGTTTCTACAATGATGATGCTGCTGCTGCTGATGATGATGATGCTCTTGATGATGATGAGGAGGAGGAGGAGGAGGCGGATGAGGAGGAGGCTGAGGAGGAGGTGGCTGAAGAGGAGGCCGAGAATGCCGAGGAGGATGCGGATGATGAGGAGGCTAATGAGGAGGCTGAGGAGGATGAGGAGGATAATGAGGAGAAGGTTGATGAGGAGGAGGTTGACGCGGATGAGGAAGAGGCGGGGGGAAGACGAGGAGGAGGAGAAGGAGGCGGGGGGAGCGGAGAAGGACCAAAGAATAACTGCATCAACTTGAGTGGAGTGGGGTGGGTAGGGGGAATCCGCCAGTAGGTGCAGGGCGACGTCACAGGGGCCCAGCAAAAGGAGAACACATCGACCTGGAACCGCCGATCGCCGATAGGTCGGTGAGAGGCGCCCGTCAGCGAAGCCGCACGTTGCCCGGCGGGTTCAGGCTACGGGGCCCCTATCCTGTCGGTGACTAATGAGGGGAACGAAGAATGACATAAACATAAAAACTCGGAGATCCGACCGGATTTCTCGGATCGGCGCTTGACCCCCCTGGCGGCGCCTCCGGCGCCGCCCCTGGCGCGCGGACCTCCGAGTTATTATGTTTATGCTATTGTGCCTTGAGGGATTGGGGGTCGACGCGTTTCTACGCCCGAGCCCAAACGATGGCTTTCGGGTCATGTCTCGGGTTCCACACGGCCGTTCGCGACGATCTGGGCACCCCGGTAACGCCCTCGGCGAGGCGCAGCTCATGGAGAGAACCCGAGGCTGCAAAACTACTAAGATTCCACGAAATCGCAACCTTTCAACGTCTGTCGGGCGAAGTAGGTAAAAACATGAGGTAGGAAGGCGGATTAAGTGGATTGGGTCCAGGCCCTCCCAGAGAACAACAAAACACAGCAAAATCATGTCGATTCTCGAAATAGGAAGTAGATCGGGATCTGGGAATCCAGCAATACCGACTTTCACCGACCAGCGTGTAACTTCGAAACCGATACCTCTCCCCCTGAGCCGCATCAAGGGTCAGAGACCGGCCAGAATGTCGGAGCGGCTCCAGCCGTGGCCACGAGGGCGCCCCAGAACGATGCAACGCCTCCAGAAAGCGAACCTGGAAGCTCGGGCTTCTAAACCCTGAGCCTATCCTACAGGCGGATTTTGGAAGAAATGTAAACATGTTCAATACATTGTCAAAAAGAAATGAAAATAGTAGAATACCTGTCCCCCGACTATTTTTTTACTATTTTTAAACATGCCTCTAGTAGAGGGACAGGCCCGACTCAGCCTATCCTCTAACAGGGGGGGCCTCCCCGAGGAAGGACACATGGAAACCCGTCCTTCTCCCGCGCCCGGCGGTGCGCAGCTGGACGAGCTGCCACCGCCCACCAGCTGCTCCAGCGCGTCGCCTGCGAGGGACCACGCGGGGTCCGAGGCCCGAGCCGTGCCGGCCGATGCGGGGCCAACCTGCACCAGAGCATGTGTAGCCTGTTTCTTTACTGCTTGGGGCACAATGGGCATTACAGCGCCCAGACCCCCCTCCCCCCCATAGAACGTAACGCACCTCCCCCCCAGTGCGCTCTGGGCACTGCCGCCGTGCGCACGGCGGGGGGAGGCGTTACATTATATCTCCCCCCCCTGGCCCCTCCCCCCCCCGCTCATAATGCCCATGATCGCCGCCGGAAAGAAAGAAACGCGCTCGTGCTCGCGCCGTGAAGGAACCACGACGGGAGGTGTTTGGCAACTTCAAGCCTCTGGGGGGCCCTTACTGGGCCCTGGGATCGCCAGACAGCAACTCAGGACGGAAAGCACGTCCTGGGGACAGGGGACAGGGTCTGGACTTCCGCGGACCACGTGTGGAACATGTCGAACCGATGCTAAACCCATCTGCGCAATATCATGTCATACTACAGATTACTCGAAAATGAGAGGACTACGTCATCGTGGACTTCCAGACATCTGCGCAGATTTCTCGGCTCGGCGAAAAGTTCCCCCCTGGCAGCGCCTGGGGGTTCCGGCGCTGATCCAAGGAATCCCCGCGGACCTCCGAGAGTTTGTTCTTGTGCAACTTTTCCTACTTCGAGTTGCGCCACCCAGAAAAGCCATGAGCAATGAAGCAGGTGCCGTCGCTCCCCATGTGGACCGAGGTCATCCTCGCACCCAGGCGTTCATCGCCTCGCAGCAGCAGTGTTGCCCCGAGGAAGATCGAAGGAGGAGCTGCCCCGCTCCTGAGCCCCAGCCGCATCCAGATGACGGAGGACCGCCAGGGGAGACTCACAGGTGGGACCCAGGAGCATAGAGGCGCCTACGGGATCAGAGCAGGCCCTCTCGCAGAGCTTTCGCTGCAAACGAAAGTGTCGCTCGCGGGAGCCACACGGCCGAAGAACCCCCGAATCGCATCCCAGCGCTGACCCCCGTTCACGAGAAGGCAACAATGGGATAATCCGAGACCGGGACTTCTGCACATCCACCGCCTAGAGAACGGTGTCCCACGAACCAGGAAGGCAATGCACGTATACGTATTTATACATGCATAATGTACAATATACATGTTCGTATGCACTGATTCATGTATATGCAGAGCTCGCCGGCCCAAGCACGAACCCCATTGTTGTGTTTACTATGTGAGTCCCGGTGCTTTCCAATCATTTTCGGGGTGCCCCTGTGGGAACCCTCAAACAGTGTCGCCCCACTCTCCAAGTCAGCACCCATCTGCCCAACAAGATCTGTCTCCAACGCAACACCCATCTACTGCACAGCCTCCGTTTCCAAGTCAGCACCCATCTACCACACAACCGCCCGTCGCAAGAGGACATCCTTAGGAGTTCCATGAGATTCTCGGCAACGCACGCCGCTCGCCGCCACTCACCAACAGCGCCAGATCTACTGTAACACTCACCATGGTGCCATGGGATACGTTCTGGCTAGAATTTCGAAGGGAATCCAGGCGGGTCGACGACAAGCATCAAGGCCTCCCAGATGGGGTCGGAGTAGATGCGGTCGGGAGATCGCGCCGCACCGCCGATCTATCCCTCGGCGATGCATCGGGGATACACCGGCGATGCATCGTCGACGTCGGCGATGCATCGGCGACGTCGACGTGAAGCAAATCGGGCTACACCTCGAGCCGCATCGCCGATGCATCGGCGATGCGGTGCGATCTTCCGACGTTTTCTACACTGACCCCATCTGGGGGCCAAGAGGGATACGTTCTAGTTCGAATCGGGGATGGCCAGAACCCTATTTAGCAAAACGTGGCTCAGTGAAAACGACCTCGGGCCCAAACCTGGCGGGCGCAAGCCTGGAAAATGACGGCCGCGGCGCCTTCTCGAGAACCGAAAACGGACAATTCAGCAATCGACGTGTCAGGGGGGGGTTCTGTCCACCCCCGTTAGAATTTCGAAGGGAATCCAGCGGGGTCGACAACGAGCAGCAGCCCAGAAGACGTGGATCGGGGCTCAGGTCTGAGGAGCCCTGGGCCCAATTTTTCCCCGATCGGTGTAGCGGCGCGGGCCCAGAAAGGGAGCCGGGCACGCCGAACGGGACAAGGCAGGCAGAGGCACGAAGCGGGGAAACATCTGAA